AAATAAATTATAATAGTGTAATCATATATTAATTTTTATTTTTTAATAAAGAAAAAATTATAATAGTTTAAAATAAAGTATACAAAAATTTAATCTTTTTGTTTAATTAGTAAGTTTTGTTTATTAAGTTAATATATTTTTTACAATAAATTAATGTAAAAATAAAAATATAATAATTACTTAATATTATTAAAGACAAAAAATAAAATTAAAACTATTTAAATCAGTACTCATTAAAAATCATTGTCAAAAATTAAAAAATTAAAAAGAATAAATTTATCAATAAAATTAGAAAATTCTAATTCACTAGTGATTTAAACTCAAATTGCTATTCATTAATTCTAAACTGTTAAATAAAAATTTTTACCAAACACTAAATTTGTAGTAGTTTTGGTAAACCAATTAGTTTCCCCACCTCCGAACTACTAATTAGTACTAATTAGATCAATATTAACTAGTTTGTAGTGGACCAATGGTTTAGTAAATAAATAAATTTATCAAATACTTATTTTTAATAGTTTAAATAATATCATTGCCTGTTACTTTTAAACTGCTATACTAAAGGGATTCTAAATCTTAAATATCTTATGAATGAAGAGATATGTAATGAGAAAGTTTTTTTATTATGAGATTTGACTATATTTAATTTTAAATTAATCAAAATTTAATATAATTTTTAAATATTGAAAACTTAATAAAAAAAATATGCTAACTCTCAACTCAAACTAAATACATATATAGCACCTGCTCTCGGGTCAAGTGATCTCTAACCACCTTGAGATATATCTCTCTTCTCTTTGGGTGTGTTTGAGTTCACCCCATAACAATATTGTTCAAAAAATACATATATATAGCTAGCTAAACCAAACAAGCCTTCTTTCTTTCTTTCTTTTTTTTTTTTTCTAAATACGAGAATGAGATCTGAACCCCATAACTCTACAAAAACAGAAAAAATTCATAGCAAAACATAGGTGGCCACTGAGTCACAAGAACCCCTCAAACCAAACAAGCCATCCTAGGTCGGCAATTTCAATGTTATATAACTAGAAATGGACCCCTGACTTAGTAATGAAATTAATAATGGTTAAATCCCTGATTCAGTCCCTCAACTTTCATTTTTGAACTAAATTTATACCCTCAAACTTCAAAAAGTATTAAAAATATCCTTAAACTTCAATTTTCGAGACCAATTTCGTCCTTCCGTCGATGGAAGTGCCAGATGGCATGTTAAGTTGCCACGAAATCAATTCTTGTTTGAAATCTTCAATTACGTGGAAAATAACTTAACTCATTATTATCCACATCATTTTAATTAATTTATATATTAAAAAATTTTTAATTCCTTAAATACCGTATCTTCATCTTCCATCCCCTCTTGTCTCTCTCTATCCTCAGATGTCTCATCATCTTGCAACCCAATCAGCACCGATCATCCCTCATTACTCCGGTCATCCCTCATTGCTCCGATCATCTATTACCGCTCCGATCATCTATTACCACTCCAATCACCATCTACTTCTTCCCCAAACCTCCTCTCTAATAGAACTCAAATCTAGTTCCTCGCACAATAATAATGACCAATAGATCTGAATCAAAAAATCAATTCCTCTGCAAATTATACCAAATCTGTAAAGAAAAATGTAAAAAACACAATATCCCTTCAATCAACACCAACAGTAACTAAATTTGGAAATTCAAGCAATCGGAAGCCACACAAAACTCTAAATCCCATTCAAGCATGACTACAAGCCAATAAGGAAACAGAACAAAAACCCAGGTGGGTTTGACTCAAACCCAAGCGTTGGGTTCGAAACCTAGGGCCTGGGTTCGAGGAACTCGCGCCTGGGTTCCATTGAACCCAGGGCCTGGGTTCGACGAACCAGTGCCTAGTCTCCTCGAACCTATGCCTGGGTTCCATCGAACCCAGGCGTGTTGCGTTAGAAGGAACCCAGGCCTGGGTTCCTCGAACCGTGCCTGGGTTCGAGGAACCCAGGCGCTGGTGCTGGGATCCTTCGAACCCAGTGGGGAGGGGAAGGAGAAAAGGAAAGAGAAGGAGAAAAAAAGAGGAAAGGAAAGAAAAAAAGAAAGAAAAAAAAATTTTATTTATTAAATTATATTTTTGGTGTCAAGTCACAATATTTATATAATTAAAAATGTCACATCCCTTGTTTTATTTTTAAGTAATATTTAATATTAATAAAAATTGAATTTGTTAACGGGAAATTTTGCCATGTCAGCACTTAACTGACAGAGGGACAAAATTGGTTTCAAAAATGTTTAAGGATATTTTTAGTATTTTTTGAAGTTTGAGGGTAAATTTAGTCCAAAAATGAAAGTTGAGGGACTGAATCGGGGATTTAACCATTAATAATTGAGTTGCTGACACACAAACAGAGGCATTAATGTGGGTTGGGTCATGATGAGAAAGGTCTTGGGCTGAGTGGCCAATGATGCCTGTGACACCTAAACCTCACACGTTGTCTACACGCAGGCGCTGTTCATGCCGTCAAAAAATATCTAGAGCGAGCTCTCTTCCCCAAATGTCATGCACAAGCAAGAAGCTTCTACGAAATTTCCTTGTAGGCCTACCTAATATTATCTTATCTGCATTATTTTGCCTAATGTCAGTTGTCAGATTTCCATTTTAGCCTCAGTGCGGAAATGCAGAGATGCTAAGAAGAAATTTGATTTTTTTAAAAATAAAAACAAGTGTAAAAAGGATTTCTCAAATGAAATTTAATATAGATTAAAATTTAATGTAATTATTAAATATTAATAAAGTTAAAAAAAAAAAAAAAACTCAAAAGAAAACAGTCCCAAGTCCCACCCAACCCTTCTTTTTTATTAGCCCTCTTTATATTTATTCGCTACGAGAGAATATAGTATTAGTACCATTTCCCCCTCCTGTTCTCAGCACTAATTAAATCCAATTTACAAATGGGGCTGCACCTGGTGGCATTAGCCAAGCTCAAGCTCCTTGGTCCGTGTCACAATATTAGTCCACTACTAGCTAGCCTGGTCTGCCCCTTTGTTATTAGAGTCGCCTGCAGTCTCAGAAGTGTCCGTCGAACTTACTTCGATCTTCTTTATGCGTCCAGGCTGTTTTTCTTCCAGATGGGTCGTATTGCGTTTGATGCTGAACCGGGTCCAGGCAATGGCAGCAGATGGCGAAGAGCTGTTCGGTTGGTTTGCCAGAGGGTAACCGATGTCGGCAGGTTACCGGCGTCGCAGTCCGAAGAAGTTAGCTTCCACACCCTCACTATCCTTTCACTCTAAGCGCGTGGGTTATTCTGGGTCAGGACTTTTATCGAGCATATGTCTTTGCATATTCGAGTTAATTATTGGAAAGTTTCTTCAGAGTGTTCACATATGTGTGCAATGTTACTTTACTTCATTGTAAAGAAAAATGAAAAGCTTGTCCAACACATCTGTACCAATATTAGTATTAAAATCAAAGCGAAAACCCAATTTCTATCCAAGTTAATTTCTTTGAAAATTAGAGAAAGAAAGTGGGTATGACTTTAAGTCTCGTTCTAGGTGGGTTGGCGTGCGCTTTTATGCTCAAAGTTTCACTCAATTTCAGGCTTGTTTGCCGAGCTTTAATGGACATACAGCATGGCGTTAGGGTGTTGTTCTTGCAGTTGGGTCGAGTAGCCTTTGCCTCTGAACCGGATCAGCACGGCCACCGCAGTTCAAGGGAACAGAGTGCCTTTTCTTGTAACAGCAACATTGACTCTTTGTTCATGCTTACACTTTAGGCACTTTCTTCAATTCATTGTTGGCTTTCACTTTCACGCCTTGTTTATGCTTTCTATTAAAAGATTAAACAATTCTTTTTAATTGTATATGATTTGCGGGAGGGGTTTTTTTTCAACGCTTAAGTTGGGTGGTTAGAAATCCCCTCACCTACTAATTCAAGTATTTTAATATATGAAACAAATCACTTAAATTTTAAAGTTTGATTTAAAAGATTAAATAATTTTAACAATATATCTCTTTAGTTTTGTATCTGGATCACACTTATGGTCAATAATTCTTTATATGTGAATATGTTTTGTGAGTCATACAAATATACAAAATAAATTAAATAATCAATCTTTGTCACAAAATCTCCTCTTCCCTTTCAATTTTTAAATATTAAATCTCATACTTAGAAGTCATAGTTTCAAACTCTCAACTTCCACGATCTAAGAACATTAATAGTATATTTAATTTGAAGGAAAATGACGTGAAGGAAAAAAAGTTGTTATAATTTTTTTGTTTCTCAAAAAGTTGTTATAATTGATCAAATTATTTCGTTAATTCAATAATTTGATTTAATTAGTCAAAATAATGTTACTTTCTCTTTCCTTCTTTCCTTTCCCTCAAAGCAAGTAGGGTACAAGTACAACCTTCTTTTTAGTATTGACCGTCTAATGGACTCTAACATTCATTTGTTTGTTGGTCAAATGCCAATTCCCTCAACTTTTGGTCTTCTGAACAGTTTTAGTATCTTAACTTTTCAATATATTTTTCAATTATTCAACTATAAAAATTGTTTTTTTTTTTGGGTTCTTTAATCAATTAATTTATTGTGTATATCCATATATATACATTTTTAATCTTTGATTTTTAAACTGAGAGACAAAAATTATATGAAATTTTAAAATTGAGGGATTAAAAATGTGTATATATAAACAAATTTAATGGACTAACTAATGAAAGGACTAAAAACTATATATTTTATAGTTAATGGATTAAAAAAGTATATAAAAAAAATTAAAGAACTAAAATTATATAAAAATCTTAAGAGTTGAAAGACAAAATTTAACATTTAATTTTGTTTGTTCTAGTTTAGGTTTTGCGGATTCTCTGGGCGGGCTATAGTCTCAACCAAGCCATATTGGGCTTAGGAAAAACAGATCGGCAACGGGCCTAGATCACTCAGGCCCGGAATTGTTTAATGGAACAAATCCCAGACATGCAATCATTTGGACAGTAAAGATTAAGCCATTCATACTCTAGATAGTTATAAGTAACTACTGATTTCAAACAAGCAATCATATCCATTCATCGCACCGAGCCCTTCGAACCAAGTGGCAATAGCCACCATGGTGCATTCCCCCCCTCCCCCAGGGCTGGGGTTCGAACCCAACCCCTTGTAAAAATCAATTCAAAAAAAAAAAAATCATATCCATTCATCAAAGTACCTACCATCTATTTACCACCCCCCCCCCAAAAAAAAAGAAAAAAAAATCAAAGTATCTACTATTAACCATGGAAAGGATTTGAACCATATACACAAAAAAAAAAAAAAGATTTCACCTATTTTGAGTAGACATAGTTTATTTTTTTGTTTTTTTGAATGTAAAAAACATAATTAGTAAGTTAATACATGTTCAAGTATCAATCGAGAAATCGACTTAATGATCATATATTACACTTCACCTTACTTCTCACACGAAAAAACGTAATCACTTAGATCACGTGAGAAAATACTTTTAATTAGACATAGTTGATTCAATTGAATATGATTCTTTTTTTTTTTTTTT